GGAGGAGGGAGGATGGAGGAGGGAGGGGGTGAGCTCAGCAAATAACACAGCGCTTATAATCCCATGGACGAGTGCCAGAATGTTTTTATGCTTGCTTTAACGCAGATTATATTACACTCTAATTAAACATTCTATTCACATGGGAGGGAACCCTGTGGACACAATTCTTTTCCAAAAAGGCCTGTTTGAGTTTTGAACTTGGGGCGGCCCTGAAATGAACGCCCCAGACAGTCTCCAGCCGTCTGAAAGAGTAGCTCCCACTAGCTTCCTTTATTTCTTTCTCTATATATATAGTCTCTCTGCCTCGCTTTCTATACTCGCGCATTCACACCATTGTAACAGGTCACTCCGCAGCTCCCTCTGTCTTTTCACGCCCGAGTCCTCCTAAATTCCATTTATGAGCGCCATTAAAATCATTGTTTAAAATCATGTAGGAAATCCATCGTCGGGGACTGAGGATCTATTGTTGCTCGTGCCCCCCAGAGTTTTAGTAATAACTGTGACAACAAAGCGACTGAAAGTACTAAAATCTTTTCTTCACGCGTAGCATTAAATGTAAGAGTGAGAGCGGTCCAGTCACCTTTTGTTGTTGATTTTAGGTCTGTGAGGCCAAACAGAGCCATTAAGATGAGTTAACACCCCCAGGAACGGGGACAGGGCATTCAGCTTGTTTAATACTAGCCATTTTGGATAAGTGTAGTTTGTTACATGCTTGTATTGTTTTACTGAGATCTGCCCAACTGCACATTTACAAGAGAACAAGCTTGCAAACATAAGTCCTAAAACACAATTTGTCTGTCCTCACACAGGTTTTGGGGGCAGACAAAACAGATGTTTGGCTGAGAACCTTTATCAAAGCATGATTGTGATTTTTGCCTTAATTTAGCTTTCCTGTTTTGTTTTGTTTATTTCTAACATAAGTTACCAGCAGATATTAATATTTATAGTTTGGATATTGTTGTCACTGAGATATTTTTAGTGTTGTTCATCACTGTTCTCATTTTACTAAACAAACCAAAACAAAGACTGATAAACTCCAGAGATGAAGTAAAGCAATTCACACATGTTTGGCAGGAACATCCCCTAAATCTGGACAAAATTAAGCATTCTTAAAAAAGTTCTGTGCTGAATTGCGTTTTCTTGTTGTCTCTACCTCACCTGCAGCCTAACAGCAGTGGTCAGGTGGGAAAGGTCCCAGGCCACTTCACCCCAGTTCTGGCTCCCTCCCCACACCATGGCGCTGTGCGGCCTGTCTCGCTCTCTATGCCCGACACTAAGCCCATCACCACATCCACAGAAGGTGAGTCTATACCAACTGGCACTGATAACCACAACGCCTGCGCAGACCTGCACACCATCCACCAAACAGCACCCTTCAATTCAACATCTCATAACAAGACCCAATATTAGGTTTTTCTTTAGTTCTTATGCTTGTGAATATTGTAAGAGCACTAAGGTTCTAAACTTAAAATGGTAATAAAAGGAATAATGTTTACATACCAGGCTAAATAGCAGTATGTCAGTGTTTCTGTGCTCTTTTTTTGTTAAATTTAAAGTCTGTTTTAGTCAGTGATGGGTGAAGTTGTGTATGGTCATAAGTATGGTCTGCAACCACGCCCATCAGTGATGTCACAGTGTACTGACACACCATTGAGTACACACCTACATCAGGGCAGCAAAGTGACTGGAAATCAAGATTTTCACTTTGTGTTAAGTTGATCTTTGCTTTGCTTGCATGTAATGATTCCTTGCTGCAGCGGCAATGGGTTTAAGTCCAACCTGTCTCTCCCCCCTTTCCTGTTGCTCTTCAGCTATCCTGACCAATAAGCCCAAAAGATGTATTTAAAAAAAATGACACTTGACAGTCCAAAACTAAAACATCTACAGTGTAATCTGCAATCTGTAAAACATCTAGGAAAAGAATTTCAAATTATAAAACACATTACTGCAAAAAATATCCCATTGCCAAGTGTCCAAATGACTGAAGGATGGAAGTGGGCCCAAAACAAAAAAAAGTCCTGAACTGCTGTTTCTAATGCAAGCATGTATTTGTGTTTTTGTGATGGCATGTTACCCAGGTTACTCAGCTCCCGGCACCCCGACGGCTAACCGTTTCGTAGGCCTGAGCCCGAGAGATCCCGCCTTCCTCCACCAGCAACAGGTGAGATCTCCCCCCTCCAGCACTCAGCTCACCTGCTCCTCTTATCCTTTCATTTTCTGTCTCCCATCTCCCTGCACATAAGAAGTGAAATCCCTGCCCTCTGCGAAAGCCTGTCGCACTCTGAATTTGATTTGTAGGAAGCATTAAACTGTCTCGTCAGATCAGAGGACTTCTAGTTCAGTTTAGAGAACTCATAGGCTGAGGTCAAGCATAGCAGTCACTATTGGCATAAAAAATGATTAAGGCCTAGCACAGCTAAATATAGTAGATCACAGTGGTAATCCACTCAATTTTGCTTTAAATGCTATGATGCTGTTCTCTTTTTACTGCTATGTTCATTTTAACCAAAGTTTTAGTGTTATTAATGCATTATTTTTAAGGACCCTTGAAAGATCCTTAAATTTAATATTCTGAGTATGGCCATTAGCTGAATCAGAGGAGGTTATATCCAGTGTATATAGCAAACATGTTTTGAAAAATACACTGTGTAAGCAGTGTACAATTAACCTCATAACAACATCGCTACTACATTTTCTCTTAAATTTTTAGTGCTGTTGAACATATAGGATATTATTTTTCCTAAGGTCACATTAAAGAAAGACATGAAAGTGTCAGGAAATTCACTGTCATTGTGTAGCCACTGCTCAGAAGATGGATGGGACATGTGGGTGACTTTGAGACTGTAATGTGCTTAGCTCTATTTCCTTCACACACTACTTTAGAAACACACACACACACACACACACACACACACACTCCACATGTAATCAGTACACTCCCTCATTTATGGTTCACAAGCTGAATATTTAGCGTTGGCGTCACGCGGTTGCCCCAGCAGCGGTCCTAGGACAGATGTGGTGACTCCATGTGTGTCTGTGTGTGCGTGTGTGGGTGTGTTTGAGTGTATTTGCGAGGTTAGGAGTGTTGCGGTGTTGTCGGACGGGCGAGAGTGCTCTCCCCCACCCCGTCTTATTGAAAGCGCTGGTCTCAGGCCAAGGCTTTTCCAACCACAACTAATTGAATGCATCTGCACGCGGCTACATAATGATCGCTGGGTTTCTCCTCAGCTCGCCTTTTTTTTATGTTTAGTAAGAATGACAAAGCTGGCCTCTGTTTCCTCACTCCTCTTTCAGTCTTTCTTTTTCTCTCTCTGCCTTTCTTTCTCCCCATTTTTTCCTAAAATCAGAGTAGGCAAAAAACATTTGAATGTTTGTCAGCAGTCGTGGGATGCTTTTATTCCACTCGGGAGGAGAAGGAGGAGGAGAGGGAGGATTCACTTGGCTGATGTTGCGCAGTTTGTCTTCCACATTTTCTTGTAGCCCTGCTACTTCTTTCAGTGGGGCACAAAGTGACTACACAAGACAGCAGCAGTCTGAGTGTAACTGCATGAGCCACTGCATTTTGTCCAAAGCTTTGCCCCCAGAGGCTATAAGGTCTTTTTGTTTTGGAGTGTAAATCAGCCTGATATATAAATATCCTTTGAAGAAATACAGTATGATAATATAATCAAAATATACTGTTTTATTTAATCATTTGTAATTATCAAAATTTGAATGATCTTAAAACACACTTGTGATCCTGCAGCACTGAGAAGACAAAGCATGAATTATTTTAGGCCTAGCAAAGACAAACACATCAGCTGAGATATGTTTGGACTTACTCGGTTTGGAAAGAGTTATATTAAAAAGACGGGAGGATTTTTAAGCACAACAGTGACACCTTTCTAAAAGGCTATTACATGCTATATCCAGATGAATAAATGGTCTTGTCGGCTTAGGGAACTCTAAACAGTCTTCACATTGATTCATCATGCTTCTGCTTGTCACAGTTGTTTTTGTTTTCTGTGGTATGATTTAACGGCCTGGGATCTGGCCTGGCAGAGTGAGCCGACACAGAGCCAAGTCCATCAGGACTAAACACTTTCACCGAATACTCTGTCATTGTCCTCATCTGGCGATGGGATGTTTATTGTGTGGGATCCGTGAGCCTTGGTGACACTTCTAGTTGTTTAGTTGCAGCTGTTTGTCGCTAGGCTTGGTAGGAAAGGACAGCACGTCTAATACGTATGTCTAGAAGATTTTTAAACGTTTCAGTGTTGCAGCTGGATCATGGAGATTCACTGTTCTTTGTCTGTCTGTCTGTATGATGGACAGAGGCCATGACTTGGACCGCATCTGCTTCTGCTGCTGTCAGAGCTACTTTAAATTTTTTTTCTTTTTGAGGAAAAACAGAACAGTCAGAAAGCAATACAATTTTTGGAATGTTGGAATCACTGTTTTAATAATATACACATACACAGATCTCCTGATCCTTGTTCAAACTGCTGTTACAGTGTTAATTTCAAACTATGAATGATAATTACATTATTTCATTACTATGAAATAACTTAATAGTCATCTGATAACTCGTGGTGAAGCTTAAAACAACCTACTTTTTAGAGTGCCTATTTTAAAATGTGGCACCACTAAAATAGAAGTCCCTGGATACATACACTCACACACACACACACACACACACACATACACATACACACGCTGTCTGTCTCTCTCTCTGTGTCT